TAAGTGTTGATGTGATTAAAAATTTAACTGGGATCGGGGTTTTATGAACTTGAGTTCTATTGATCCTACAGTGAAATGATAATTTTATGCTAATTTTATCTCAACGGAGAACTTGAGTTCTATTGATCCTACAGTGAAATGCTAATTTTATGCTAATTTGATCTCAACGGAGTTTTATGAACTTGAGTTTTATTGATCCTACAGTGAAATTCATAAAGTATATGCTAATTTTGCAAATTTTATGAAGTCATGGAAGCAGTAATGGGGTACTGCAGTAATGTATATGCTAATTTTGCAAATTTATTTGTGTCTTTTTTTTGTGTATGTTTTTTTTTTGTTCCCAAATAATTGACGTGGTCATTATTATTGTTTTTTTCTTCTTTAGGAGTTTGGAATGGAGGAAACAAATTCAAATAGTGTAGAGTTCGGAATGGGAGAATCAAGTGTTATTGGAATTGAAACTGCGGCCAATTCTGTAAATGCTCCTAAACCACTACTAGGAATGAAGTTTAATAGTCATGAAGAAGCTTATAACTATTATAACTCTTATGCATTGTTGATGGGTTTTGGAATAAGGAAGAGCAGTGTGAATTACTCTCGCAAGACTAGAGAAGTGGTAGACAGAAAGTTTGTTTGTGATAAGGAGGGCTATAGATCTAATAGAGATAAGATGGAGATGCCTTTTCGGCGAGAGACCCGAGTGGGATGTAAGGCAATGATGCGAGTTAAATTATTGGAGGACAAATCGTGGGAGGTCACGGGGTTTGTTGAAGAACATACAAATCATGTGTTGAGTAGTCCAGACAAAGCAAAAATGCACAGATCACATCAACAATTTCATAAAACTCAAAGATGTAAAAAACTTATTGATAGTTTGCGAGAAGAAGGTATGCCTCCTTCCACTATTTCTTGCGTTATCAATGCAACCAATGGAAGAGACGGTGAACTTGTGACATCACAACAGTGCATTGATCATATCAGAACCCAAAGAGTCAACAATATTGGTCATGAATGCATATCTATCATTCGACATTTTCAGAGTATGACAGCGAATGATCCAGAATTTTATTTTGCAATAGAAGTAGACAGTAGTGGACAAAGGAGGAGTGTATTCTGGGCCGACGGAAGATCAAGAGCATCTTATTTGCAATTCAGTGATGTTATTGCGTTTGGTGTGACATACAGAACTAATAAGTTCGGTCTTCCATTTGCTCCATTTACTGGTGTAAATCACCATAGGCAGTCCACTTTACTTGGTTGTGCATTATTAGCCGATGAACAGGAAGATACCTTTGTTTGGTTATTTGAAGAATGGCTGAAATGCATGCACGGCATTGAACCAGGTGCTATTATAACAGATCAGGATAGAGCAATGTGTAATGCTATTCACTCAGTGTTTCCAACGACAAGACATCGTTATTGCTATTGGCACATGCAAAAGCATATTATTGATCATTTGCCTACTTTGGTATCTCGTTATGGTGAACAGTTTCAAAGGTATTGGGGCTTGTGGTGTAATAGTTCTTCAATTGAACAATGTGAAGGATATTGGGTTGAGATGAAAGAGAAGTTTGATATAAATGAAGAAGGGGAGGGATGGTTGCAAACAGTTTACAAATGCAGAGAACACTGGGTGCCGTGTTATCTGAAGGACACTTTTTTTGCTGGAATGAGATCGAGCCAAAGGAGTGAAAGTATTAATGCATTTTTTGATGGGTATGTTAACTCACAGACTCAGTTACACGAGTTTGTGACACAATATGAAAAAGCAGTAACTCATCGTCGCTTAAGTGAAGCCCATGAAGATTTCAAGAGTCTGAACACAAAGCCGGTTATGCTCCTTGGACATCCAATTGAGATCCAAGCTGGAGAAATGTATACACGCAATATGTTTGATGTGTTCCATACTGAATTCAAAGGATTTGGTACAGAGTTCTGTGAAGAATTGAGAAAAGATGGGGACATTGTTGAATACAAGGTCTGTAAGTTTACAGATAGAGGAAAATGGGAGGTGGTTACTTATGAACAATCCAGTCAGATCCAGTTCTGTTGCACTTGTGCTTTGTTTGAAACTAATGGTGTTGTATGTAGACATATATTATCGCTAATGATGGCTAGGCAAATGGATTCATTACCCGACCACTACATCCTACACCGTTGGACCATACATGCAAGGCATCGTAACATTGGGGTTGGCAATATTGTATTTGGAAGAAACATCACCAGCAGTGGAGAGAAGATTAATTTATTGAAATCTTAGGCTTTAAGAGCAAAATTCAATAATGTGCTCGAGCTTGCATTTGATTCAGAAGAGAAGCTGCAACAACTTGATGATGTGCTTACAAATTTCATGGAATCACTTGAAGAAGAACTTGGAGAAACTCAAGATCAAATTATGGATATTCCTCAACCTTCCGCACCCATTTCACATACAATAGAGAACATTCCTCAGATAACAGTTCGTGATCCTGATAGACCTGCAAGGACTAAAGGTCGTCCATGCAATGCTACTAGAATCCAGTCAGGTTTAGAACAGGCACAAGAAAAGAAAGAAAGGAAGAAACGCATATGTAGGAGATGTGGTGAACTTGGGCATTATAGAACTAGTTGCAAAGTTAACTTGCAAAGGTACCATTTTCGTTGATATTCAGTTTTAACCCTATATAATTTGTCATATCTCATGATTAATTTGTCATATAATTTGCAGGTAAACATATGTACGGGTGGTGGATGTATTGGTTTGTTCAAAAAGTCATATCTCATGATTAATGTACGTATGATTGCTTGCATTTTTGTGTATCAATCTTTAACAGCGCTTTATTTACTTTGTTTTTTACTTTTAACAAACAATTTATTTGCTTGTACATGTTGCTCAGGTTCATCCACAACTGTTGCTGATTGTCTTGTAGCTGCTGATGTATCAACTTGCATTGTAGCTGCTGATGTGTTAAGACTAATGTATTAAGACCGAGTATGTGTGTGTGTTATTGGTTATTTGATATGGATTGTTGTCTTGTAGTTGCTGATCTGTCTTGTAGCTGCTGATGTATGTGAATTGTATTGTGAAGTTTGTAGCTACTGATTGTGTCTTGTTTTGTTGATATTGGCCACTATTTTGTGTAGCATATTTGATCATATTTCTTGACCTAATTTCAGGTCTTTTTGTTGATAAGGGCGGTTCTGGATTGATTGGATTATAGATATATGCATGATTGGATTATAGATATATGCATATTTGATCATATTCCTTTACCTTATATCTGGATTAGGAAACATCATATGTTAAACTTTTCAGGAGTCGCCAATTTTTAATGTTGTGTGTAATTCAGTCTAAAAAACCCTGGATTATCAAGCATCTAGTAAGTTTCTACCACACAAAGTCATGATGCACATAAAATATGCATGTTAAAGAACTCACTTTCTTGTGAACTACGGTCATCATAGTGGTGTCTTGTTTCATCCATATACAGTTAATATGTTCAAACTTTTCCCAATAGTTATTTAAATCCTGTTACATGTCTTAAAACATTTTTCCTTATATTAGCCTTCAGCTAGTCTATTACTATTACCAGCTCATAGAATGCAGGAAGACATGTTACATTTTGCTTCTTCTTGTGAAGTACAACCTGAGCGAAACCTGATGGGTAAAGAAACATATGTTTAAACTTCTGCAGGACCATTGTGGAGATCCTCGGGGTGGATTAAATATGTATATGTAAGTAAGGATAAATCAATGATAAACATACAGAATACGTGTAATGATTCTAGCTAATAAAATGTTATCTTCTAGTGCATTCTGAAGATCTTCATGGGAGATGCTGGGATGTTAACATACACAAAAAAAAAGACACAAATAAATAATGTAAATGAACAAAAAGCTATCAAATTATGTCAACAAGAAGCCAAAGTAATAAAACATCCACAGTACATCTCTAATATAGAATTAAACTAAGGTAATAAAACATCCATAGCAGCGCAGATTGCTATTGATCTGATACAAACAATATGACATAAGTTCTCACAATCACATAAGTTCTCACAAGATACATAAGTTCTCATAATCTCACAATCACATAAGTTACTCGATACATAAGTACTCACAATCACATATTTTTTGCAAGATAGAAAAAAATAAATACGATAACGATAAATATTACAAACACTAATATTGTAAACACTGAACCTATTGCAAAAGCATAGATGGGGGAAATAGTAGTTCTTGAGCTCAAACACTAATATTGTAAACACTGAACCTATTGCAAAAGCATAGATGGGGGAAATAGTAGTTCTTGAGCTCGATGCAGAATCAGGTGTCGGGACATAAAAAGGTATTTGGACATGCCCTGTACTGGATGCTGAATCACAAGCGATGCTGTGCTTATCCCATTCAACCAAAGCCTCTTCGTACGTTGCATACCCTTTATATGCGGCATTTGGGAATTTATCAACTTGCATTTTACAGTCCTCCCAATTATTAAAAATTCCACACCGTCGACCTCTCTTCACAATGTAAAAACTCTTTCTTGCCATCCTCCCACCTAAAAAATTATGGTTTGAAGCAAAATCACAGTAAAAACTCTCTTAATTTCTTTGTCGAATTAAGAGAAATTATAAGTGCAGTAGCATATACTTTGCAAACATGCAGTAGCATATACTTTGCAAACATGCAATAGCATATATTTTGCAAATTATAAGAGAAATTATGGTTCTGGATTGATTGGATTATAGATGTAATTGTGTTTTTTGTCATATAATTTGTAAACATGCTTGAATAAGAAGTTTTAATTAAACCTGACTTCATATCAGCTAAATCCCAGTTTGAATAAGAAGTTCATAAAACTCAAAGATCACATCTAACAATGCACAGATCACAAATCCCAGTTAAATTTTTAATCACATCAACACTTAGCAAAAATGCTTTGTCTGGACAACATCAACAAAGCATTCATACAACACAATACAATCTGTATATAGGATTTTTTCTTAAATTTAACAGTAAATGTTAGAATTTGCCGAACATTACAGTAATAGAAAGGAGGGCGGTTGAGAGAGGAGAATTTGAAATTTTACCTGTCAAGAGAGATCGAAAGGGGGAGTCGGGTTGGCCTCACGAGACGAAACGAGCGGCGGCGGTCGCCGATTTCTCAGTCCGAGCGGCGGCGAGGTGTTGCCTCTGAGCAATCGAAGGGGGAGAGGCGCAAACGAACGGATTGGGGAGAGATCTTGGGGTCGATTTCGAAGGGGGTTCTGGGGAGAGCGGAGAGGAGGATTTGGGGAGGCGCGGTGGGTTCGCCTGAGCTATGGCCTGAGCGAATCGAAGGGGAGCGATGGCCTGAAGAAATCAAAGGGGAGAGGTGGAGAGGGAGGATTTGGGAGAGGCGCGTGGGTTGGCTGAGCGCGATGGCCTGAGCGGGAGAGGCGAATCGAAGGGGGAGAGGCGAAATCGATGAAGTCAGGCGGAAGCAGAGGAATTCTCTGTCGATTTCGAGGGTGTGTTTCTGGGGCAGCTGGGTTTGACAGCTGGGAATCGTAGAGATGTGTAAAAAGGAGGGTGTTTTTTTTCAAATAACACCTGCAAGCGGCATCCCCCATACCTGGCAGCTCATGGGCCAGTTTCTCTCTCCTCTCTCTCTCTCGTCCTCTCTCTCTCTATATATATATATATATATATAATATATATAATATATATAATATATATATATATATATATTATTATATAATATATATATATCATCACATCACAAAGTGTTTAACAAAAAAAGATTCTCATGTACATACCAAACGATAGAGCATAATTTCAAACCAAATAAAAAATCATGAAAGTCTAAGAAGGCAAATCAAGAGAATTTATGAGTTCATGAAAACCAAACAAATGTCAAATGAAAGGCCAATGAAAAGATATATCCAAGTGTTTGTTCAAACATTTAATTTTTAAGCACACATCAAAAGATAAGGAAATCATGAATCAAATGAATGGAAATCATGAAAATCAGGAAAAATTAAAAAATCAAATAAACATTCAAACATAAATCATGATTAAAATTTTTAAAAAGCACAATAATATCAAAACAAACTTGCAAACTTTGTTTTAAACTTTTCTTGGTTTTTATTTGCAAATAAAACCCAAGGGCTATTTATAAATTCATAAACCATAAGCCTAAAAACCAAGAAAAACAAAAACCAGAACAAAAATCAGCAAAAACTAGAAATAGCCGTTATAGTAGCCGTCGATCAACTGATGCAAGAATCGCTCGACTGATGAGTTGCTCGTTGGCTACTGCTCAAAACCTGTCGATCGACTGATGCACCATCAGTCGACTAATGAGCTGCTTCAGTCGACTAATAGTGCATCAGTTGATAGAGCATAAACAAATGATAATTCCAGACAACTTCTTCAGTCGGCTGATGACCTTTGTTAGTCGACTGAAAACATACACAGGAACCTGTTGGAACAATGAATTTTATTTTCAAAGTACTTTTAAAAATAGCAATGAAATTCCAAAAATTATAAAATTTGGGCAAATAATTATTCTGATGAAAATGAACATGTTAGAAAAGAAAAAAGTTCAAATATCATTTTCCATTTGTGAAAACTTATTATTTTGTAAAATCTCAAAAATACGAGTTCGTTTAAAACACTTGATTTTAACAAAATAATTTTAACCAAAATTTAGAATCCTTTTTAATTGGTCAAAATGATGTAAATAGTATTGTTTAGTCTATAATCCAAAAACACAAAATATAAAATAATATATGTACAAAACAAAATTTATCTTTTTGAAGCATAAAAACAAAAAGAAAAGAAAAAAATTGTTCTTTGAAAGCAAACAGGGGTTGTCTTTTTAATTCATTTTGAAAATGTGAAACATTTTTAAACAAAGTTGGTCTTTTTGAAATATTTTTTGATTTAGAAACTTTTCGCAAATCAAAATAATATTTTGTTAAATGACCAACTCTTGCACAAAAATCACACTTATACACATTAACATGCTTATGATGAATATTGTGTGCATGTGTATGTGTATGTGTATATGATGAGAGAACTTGATGAGATGCACAAGGAGTAATAATATTAGCATTAGTGGTTTGTTGTGCATCATATCAAAATTTAGCAATATGGCCTTTACGATCGCAAATAAAACACTTGTAAATTTTGCCATTCATGTGTGCATAGTGAATGTTTGATTTTGTAGAATTAACACGTGACTTTGCACACAAGTCCATAAATTTCTTATTATTATCAATGCATTTATTTAGTGTTGAATCAAGACAACAAATACGGTTTTCCATATGATTCAACTCATTATTAGTCACATATGCATTGACATTAGAAGTAGAACAAGTATGATTAATTTTGAAAGAATTAAATCCATTCCTAATTGTTTTTACCTCTAATATGACTAATTTTGAAAGAATTAAATTCATTCCTAATTGTTTTTACCTCTAATATGACATTATTTTTATCATGAGTCAAACTAGCAATTTCCATTTTTAATTTATCATTTTCCAAATTTAATTTATCAATGTTTTCGTTAAGAAATACATTTTCTTTATCAATGATTTGAAATTTGGATGCTAGTGTCTCATGATTGGATTTCAACACTACATGCTTGCTTTTTAAATTTACAAAATTATGATGTAATTTTTTATAGGCTTTTGTTAATTTCTCATATGCACATGCGAGTTTAACTATAAATAGTTCATTTTTAGAATCGGACTCGTATACCTCACTAGGGATATCTCCTAGTGGTCGAGTGCATGATGAAGCTCCACTCTCACTTGAAGCAAAATCCGCTGGAACCCGTTAGATCTCCTCCAAGTTACTATGATATGCTTCTATATGTTTCCATAGAATGTAAGCACTATCAAAATGAGCAAGTTTGTTAGAGATACATGTATCAAAAGCATTAAGCAAAAATTCTAACACTAACTTATTCATAGTAAACATCCTTTTATCATAATTGC